GGCGGCGACGCGCGCGCGGCCGGCCGCCATTGGGCTGGCCTTTCGGAAGGCGGGGCCGGCTCCGCCCGCGCTTCTCGGCCTTTCTTAACTGCGGCAGATGGGAGGGGGCCAGAAGAGCCGGGGCGAGTGCGACTGCGCAGTTCGAGAGGTGGCAGTGGGCGTTGCGGCTGCTGCGGTCTGGGCCCAGGGAAGGATCGTGTTGGCAGCCGAGTTTTAATTTTGTCTGCAAGGGACCCGTCCTAAAAAGAGGCGCTCTTGGCAATCTTGTTTATAACGTCTGCTGGTAAACACTTTATTTTATGCCATTTACGTTTTTTCCTGCCCTTACTTGGCCCATTCGTTCCCCGGTAGTGTCTCAATCGAATTCTTTTCTAACAGGGAATCGCTCAGCCGGACATCATGAGCGGCTGTCGAGTGTTCATCGGGAGGCTAAATCCAGCGGCCAGGGAGAAAGACGTGGAAAGATTCTTCAAGGGCTACGGACGAATAAAAGATATTGATCTCAAAAGAGGTTTTGGGTTTGTGGTAAGTGTGAAGAAGTGGATTCATTTTTCCGTTAAGTAGGTTTTCTGTTTTTGTTTTTTTTTAAATCAAGAATGCATTTGATTGAATTGAGCCCTGGTACAAGATCTTTAGTATATGTTAGAAAGAGAACACTTTCTTAAGGCTTCATTAAACAACCTGGCACACCACTGCCTGGGGGGAACCTGCTGCTCCCAGAAACTCCTTGTTTGGGGTTAGTTTCTGTGGCACTCCCACGATGTGTTTTCCTCACACATGATTCCAGTGCTCTTGCTGTGTTGCACAAAAAGTACAATTTTAAAGTCATGCTAAGCATTTAAATGTTTCCATATTTTTAGGAATTTGAGGATCCAAGGGACGCAGACGATGCTGTGTATGAACTCGATGGAAAAGAACTCTGTAGTGAAAGGTGAAGACCCTTCATTTCATAATTCCAGTTCGCTCCGGAAAGTAACGCAGACTGGGGTAGCCGAGATGTTGTTCTAAATAAAACAGTAGATCGTCTTTACAGGTTTAAGAATATAACTGAGGTTTGTTTCCCTCCCCTTTTCTCCAGGGTTACGATTGAACATGCGAGGGCCCGCTCTCGGGGTGGAAGGGGCAGAGGACGATACTCTGACCGTTTTAGTAGTCGCAGACCTCGAAATGACAGACGGTAGGTGATGGGTGGCTAGCTGCTCTGAACAGTTACTGCCATAGGGCTGTTCACGGTTCAAGGGCCTCCAGTAATGGTGTTGAGATTTGCCATCATCTCTTCGGCTCCCATGTTAACCCCACACTTCCTGGCGGGTCTAGGCCTGGTGTAGGTGGAAGCCATTTGAGTGGCATGTTTTGCCTGATGTTTTTGAACTTAGCCACAGTTGAACACACACAGTCACTGCATTGCTTCCATTTTGAGGTCCTCATTTTCTTCCTCAGAAATGCTCCACCTGTAAGGACAGAAAATCGGCTTATAGTTGAAAATTTATCTTCAAGAGTCAGCTGGCAGGTTTGTTAAAACACGGTTTTGAGTTATTTTATTGTGGCTTTTTTTTAAAGAAATGGGTAGTTTAAAGTTTTAATAATATATTTTGTTAAATGTAGTTTTAACTTTATTAAATTGGGGTTAAATGGCATAATTTTGTAATTTTAATTAACTGTAACTGGGGGAATACTTTTTAATATTAGTCATCAAATGTAAATGTTATGAGGATATTTTTTCATGTTTTTAAAAATCAATTTTAACCAAATATTAAACCCTTTATTTGCCAGCCTATCTGTGTCGTTGGCCTTATGACGAGGAGTGCCTGTGGGTTACCTAATCGTTGTCTTGGTCACTCTTGGTTGGGCCCGGTTGACTTTGCCAGTCAGCTCCTACAGTGATCAGTTGGCCACCTCTAGATCTGTGTTTGCCGGTCTAGACGTAATCGGTGCACTTACTTGAAGTGCCAGGTTGCAGCGATCCCAGAGCCTTGATAACGTGATCTGATCCTTAAGTTGAGACCTGTCTTCCTGTAACGCTTCCGAATAAGAGGTCCTGGTCGCACAGAGTTGAAAGATTGGAAATTAGGTGGTCGTTGGAATCCCGATCGCAGTAAAGTGGTCCTTGGTAACTGCACAAGATTAGAAGTGTCTGCATCGCCAATAGTCTGCTCATAGGCAGGGCTGTGCGGTAAAGGCTCCCATCGATTGGGTAGTGTCCTTCAAGTGGGTGGCGAAGAGCCAGTCGGGCATTTGTCATGAAGGTTTCTCCGACCGATTAATGGTTTGCTGCTTGACTAGCCTAGGGAAATGTTAATAAAGGTAAAGTAAACTTTTTTAATGACATATGGGGCACAAATAACTGGTGTCTTGTAAATGTTCTGTTTTTTTTTTAATAGAAAACTTCCTGCTTTAGTCTTTCATTTTTAAAATGTACTGTTCCCTTTCTGTTTTGTTTTTGTTTGTTTTCTTTCTGTTTTTTGTTTTGTTTTTTCTCTTGTATTGAGCTCAGTATAGACTAATACTACTTTAATGTTAAAATCTTAATTTTCTCTAGCATTTTGCTTAAAAGCAATATGCTCTTTGCTTATTCCGTGCCCTACTTTTGATAAATTTTGAATTCTGATAGAATACAAGTGTGGTACACACCATGTTTGTACTTTATCTAACATCTTCTCTTTCAGTAGTCTTTGTTTTTTATACCTTGTGGTTGTTTGTGTGCCACTTTTCATTTTCTGTGTTTAACAAAATTATCTTGTGTTAAGGATCTCAAAGATTTCATGAGACAAGCTGGGGAAGTAACCTTTGCAGATGCACATCGGCCTAAATTAAATGAAGGGTGAGTATGTATGAGGGAATATGAAACCTGTCCAAGACATTCTGAAAGTTAGTACTGTGAATAGTTCAACTCAGTGCCACTGAGTTGATTCTGACTTGTAAGAGTCCTGTCTGAGAGTACAGCTCCCCTCTGTAGGGTTCTGAGAGTGGCGATCTTTATAGGAGTCGAAAGTCCTCTTTCAAGTCCATGGGAGCAGTTGGTGGCTTGCATTGCTCACCTTTGGTGAGCAGCCCAGCGTATAGCCTACTGAGCTACCAGGGTTTGGTCTCTGAACAGTTAGGATTGAAAGTTTGGGTATCGGTTTTGCTACCCAGGGGATATTTGGTCACATCTGGGGAAAATTTGTGGTTGTCATCATTAGGGAGGGCTCTACTGACATCTAACCAAAACCCACTGCCAACTCAAACAGAAACATTTTAATCATAAAATTACTGGGGAAAATCAATCTGCCTTTTAATTCTTTTTCCCTTGGAACTTTTTTGAAGCTATTTGTTTTGTGCTTTATGAGACTACATGATAAAACTAAGTGTCCCCTCTTCTCCCCCATCTTAGGGTGGTTGAGTTTGCCTCTTATGGTGACTTAAAGAATGCTATTGAAAAACTTTCTGGGAAGGAAATAAATGGGAGAAAAATAAAATTAATTGAAGGCAGCAAAAGACACAGGTAACCCTTCAGTTTCTTTAAAGCTGTGGCGTTTGGTTTTTATTAATGGATTTGTAGGGTCTGTCATTGATGTTGGGTTTTGCTACCCTCTACCCCCCCAGTAGGTCAAGAAGCAGGTCCCGTTCCCGGACCAGGAGTTCCTCTAGGTCTCGTAGCCGATCCCGTTCCCGTAGTCGCAAGTCTTACAGCCAGTCCAGGAGCAGGAGCCGGAGTCGGAGCAAGTCCCGTTCAGTTAGTAGGTCTCCTGTGCCTGAGAAGAGCCAGAAACGTGGTTCTTCGAGTAGATCTAAGTCTCCCTCTGCGGATCGCCAGAGATCCCGGTCTCGGTCCAGGTCCCGGTCCAGGTCCAGGTCAAGGTCAAGGTCCAGATCAGTTGACAGTGGCAACTAAACTGTAAATAACTTGCCCTGGGGGCCTTTTTAAAAACAAATTCCCAAACCATACTTGCTAAAAATTCTGGTAAGTATGTGCTTTTCTGCGGGGGTGGGATTTGGAGGGGTGGGTGGGTTGGGCTGGTTATCTTTGTAGATGTGGACCACGAGGGGTTGTTGAGAACTAATTGTATTAAATGTCTTTTGATAAGCCTTCTGCTCACATTTTTGTGAATGTCTGAAGTATATATATAGTTTGTGTATATTGACAGAGCTCTTTTATAACTAAAGCAAATTTTTTTGTACTAGAAAAAAATTGAATATTTTAGTTCCTGGTTATTCAGATATGTTAATTCAGAATTCGTTTAATGTCTCAATTAATAGCTTTGGACATGTAAAAGAGCTCTAAATTTGCTTGTATATAAAGGCTTAACTTGAGTTTCCCTGTTGGGTCAAGGGTGTCTTCGCACCGACCCTTTAACAGCTGCAAGAAAAAAGAACAAGACATTACAGCAGCTGTTTGTTATTGATAATAAAATATTATAAAACTGCGTTTGTGTGGCGTGGTGTGCTATTTCTCTCTCAGACCTCTACATTCAACATACTTGAAATCCCAGAAGGCTTGAATAATTTTGGCTTTAAAATTTTTTACTGGCAAGTCCAGCCAAAGAAGTCGGTGAGCTGTCACAATAGTGATGGGGTTGTGCATCTTGGGCCCCGTATTGTTGCCATTTCTTTAGGCGCCAAGGACAGGAGGGGCATTTGGGGAAGGAAGTGCCTGTTGAGTCTGTCCCAATTGAGAACAAAACACCGGCCCAGCCCTCCCTCCACCAGCCTCATAATTGTTATGCTTGATCCTGTAGGAAAAACTTGATGGGTATTTTATGTTCATTTTAGGGTTGCCATATCAGTTTTGATGGTCAGGTGGGGCTTTAAAGTTTGTACATAATGATTATTAAAGGGCTTTTATTATGATTCTGCCTTCAGGCATCTAACAAAATCCTATTATCTCAGCTTTATGAAATTCCTTGTATATGTTAAAGGGAAAAGTGGTTTAAGAATGCAAACAATTATTACTGGCTCACACCTGAGCCCTTCAGGTACGGTCCCTGTATTTGAAGGGTGCATTCTGAGGAACTTGGAGACGGAGATCTTGATCTTGTCCTTGGGTAGTCTAGGGAGATAGGAGATCTAGTAACATCCACTCTAGGTGTAGTTACACTAGCCAGACACCTGTGGCTGTGCTGTTCAAGCACAATTGTCTCTGGTCAAAAGGAGGCAAATGGGAGAAATGCAAAGCTGGAGGAAAAGTAAAACTAGGAATAGGGAAATAAAACAGGAAGGAAAAGAAACAATGGAAGGAAGCGCCTGGGTAGGGAATAAGGGTGGGTGGGTGTCTGGAATGGTCAGCACCCTCTGCTAGTTGAGCTCAGTGGGTGGGCGGGGGATGCAGCAAGGGAGCAGAGGGTGGGAAGCTTGATCTTAGATGAGTTTCTGATGGCCTGTTTCTCAGGCCAAGGATTCCTGTCGGAAGTACTGATGTCAGAATGCTTGTTCTTGGAATTAAGACAGGTCAGAATGCTTATTCTTGAAATTTAAGGTCCAAGAGGCTCATGGGGACAGGTTGGTTGATTATGGAAGGAACTCTCATCTTGTTCACTGGTGGCTAAGGACGGGGTGGATGTACGCTGTTCTTGAGCCCTGTAGATGTGGTTCTGAGCTCAGAAAATGACCTGCAGCTGGGTGGGTGGAGGTGGGCACAAGGCATACTAATTAGGGGAAGATGAATATCGGGTCCCTTCATCTGTGGAAACCCTGCTGAAACCTACCACTGTGAGCTTGTGTGTATTTGCAATAACGGGGGTGGGGGGTGGTGGTGGTGGTGGTGGTGGGAGGAACCTTCCAGTATCAACATTCAAAACACTGTAGCATGACCAACTGGTATAGAATGTAGTAAATTGACTTCTAAAACTCCACACCCATGCTCTATTTTGGTGTTTTGGTGCTGCGGTATTCTGGGGAAGGTGGGATTGGAAGCATTACAATTGATGTGTGATTCCCCCAAAGAGGAGAGTTGAGTCTCCATTGGGGGGTGTTTCTGTGGTATCCTTGAATATATGGATATCTGCTGGATAATACTGTAGAGGCTTGTGCCCTGAAATTATAAAGTGAATCCTTCCTCAGATGAACCTTATTCCCAGGGGTTTGTGGTATTTCCTTGTTAATTTACTTGGATGGCAGGAACTGGGTTTATTTAAATCTTTAATTTCAAAACCCAGGGTTTTTGTTGAGTGCCTGCAGGCCACACAGCTGACATGCTGGGGGATGGGAGGGATGTTTGGGATGTTGCTAGCAAAGTGGGAAGAGAGTTTTCCCATTCACTTCTGAAAAGTTAAAAACTTGGCAATTTGGGTATGGGCTTACGTTATTTGTTTTGACATTGTATTATTGGGCAGTTTTGGTCCATCCCCCCCCCCCCCCTTTTACCCAGTAAGTATGAAAGACTCCTTTTACGCTGTAAGATTGGTTCTATAAGGGAGATTTGTTACGAGAGATTTCAAAAAGTTACTGGAGAAATGGAATTAGAAGATAACGGAACATTTCCAAACCTATTGGGTGCTGTGAAGTTGACCCCGGTGACAGGAGGACTGACCCACCAGGCTGTTGGCTACAGTCTCTCCAGAAGCAGAATGCCAGGCCTTTCTCCCAGAGTCATGGAGGGGCTTCAAACCATCAACCTTTTGCTAGCCAAGTGCTTAAACTTAGTTCAGCCCCACATTTTTCAAAACTTTTTTTTTTTTTTTAACAATGTACTTAACGAAACCTAACATGATCACACAGCTAGTTATTGGAGAACAATTTGAACAGATAACAGTATTTGGTAATATGCAGATGTACATTTGCATTTAAAGGCGGGCATTCATGACCCAAATCAGTGACAGACTTGTAACGGGGATTGGGAATGAGATTTATGTTGCTTGTCATCCATGATACATTCTATAAAAATAGGGTGGCTATGTAGTTTGGACATTGTATGAACATCACTCCAAACAAACATGCTTAAGTCAAGCAATAGCATGCACTGAATTTTAACCTACCTGTTTAATCTTTTATTTCACTTCCAGTTTAGCACTTGTAGCAGTTTGTCTCCAATTTGTCTCTAGCATTGGTTTTGCTGTGTCTGGGAGTTGTGATGAATTTCACGGTAATGTTTCAAAGTAAAATCAAACACAATACTTCAATATTCAAAGGACTCATGATAACAAAATTGAATGCTGCTGCCTATGAATTGAAGCCTACGCTTTTAAACAGTTAACTTTTATTTGTGAGTAGGGATAGGTCACGTTAAAATAACAAAATAGTACAGTACTTAACATGAGCCAGGATCATGTTAATTATGACTATTAAGACGTACTGAACATGGCAGGAAGCTTCAAAAAAAAGGACTAAACACTACTGAGTGAATTGGTCAATGTTGAACCATTTTAGGAGGTAGCACATGATGAAAAACTGATAGGGAAGTCCAAATAGCACTGAAGGTATTGACGAGAAGGTTCCATGAATTGGTGGACTACCAATGGCAAAGTCAATGAGTGCAGTGCTAGAGCTGTGTGCTCATTCATGTCAGGAAAATGGGAAGCTCGCTACCTGGCCAATTGACTGGAAGAAGTCCATGTCCTGTTGACTCTGAAGGAAGGCCGACAACGTGTCATTGAACAATAATGTCACATGGAATGAATTTAGTTGAAGGTAATTCAAAAACAGTTGCAGCAGCACATTGAAAGGGAACTGCCAGAAATTCAATTCGGATTCAGAAGAGGACGTGGAACAAAGGATGTTGCTGACATCAGATGGGTTTTGGCTGAAAGAGAATATCAGACAGTTGTTTTACCTTTTTTTTGACTATGTTGAGATGTACTGTATGGATCATAATAAATTATGAGTAACAGTCAAGAATGGGAATTCCAAAATACTTAATTGAAGTCATGTAGAATCTCTACAAAAGAAGCAGTTGCTCAAAACAAGATAAGTGCTTGGTTTAAAATCAGGACGGGTGCATCAGTCAGGGTTACATCTTCACCATATTGAATCTCTGCTGAACAAATAATCTGAGAAGGTGGATCATATGAAGACGAATGTGACAGGATGGAGGAAGACATTAGCAATCTCGCATGCAGATGGCATTACCACTGAAAACGATGAGGACTTGTTGAAAGACTGCAGCCTTCCGTATAGATGACCCGTCAGAATCAAGCATTACAGAAACCCTCAACCATACCAATCGGCGGCAACATGATGAATGCAGAAGAGCTTGAGGTGGTGAGGGAAATACTTCTGCTTGAACCCGCAAACAACCAGGGGAGCAGCAGTCAGGAAGTCGGATGGCATATTGTGTTGGGCAAATCTGTTGGTACAGACCTACTTCAAGTGCTAGAAAACGAAAATGTCTCTTTGAAGACTAAAGTGTGGCCGGTCCAAGCCATGGTATTGCCGGTTACCACCGATAAGCGAGAGCGGGACAGAAAAAGAAGATAGAAACATTGATGCTTTAATTGTGGTGGCAAAGAACACATTACACATACCATGGGCTGCCTGAAGAATGACCCGATCTGTTTTGGAAGAAACAGCTCAGACGCTTCTTAGACATGGGAGCGGCACGATGTACTTTGGCTGTGTTATCAGGAGCAATGAGTACCCGCAGGAAGGACGTGAGTAGTGAAAGTGGCATAAGGAATGGGTCAAGAAAAGAGAGGAAGCCTCTCGGAGAAGGATTGGCACCTTTGCTGCAACCAGGGCCTCATACAGCAACAGCTGTGAGGATGGCCCAGGCCTGGGCAATGTTCTCTAGTAGATGGGGTTGCTACGAGCCAAACCGACCTGAGGGCGCGTAACAACGATCAAGACATACATCTGAGGGGTCGTATATGCCGCGCTTAGTATGTAATGCATACTGTACCATTGTGCCATTCCCCAGAGCTGCTGGAGCTGTTTCTTCGCTTGTGGCAGCTGTGTAGATCATTTTTGTTTTATCTGTAAAGGACAAAAGTGGAAGATAATGTAAAGAAAAAACAGTAAATACAAGGCTTTGTTAAATCTGGAATACCAAAATGCACACCCTATAGGTGTGCTGGTATATGTTTTGTTTTTACTATTTGCCAATCCAGTATTTATCCTTCCCAACTTCTTTAATGGAAATAGAAAGGAACTTCAAAAAGTTTGTGGGAAAATGGAACGAGCAGATGTTGGGATTTTCACAAACCTGTTGAGGCCGCCCCCCATAGTAGAAGATTGTTACCCTATCTTCAACTTTGTGGCTTGCATAGCAAAGATGCTGGTTGTATTTGGGTGTAGGCTTCCTGGAAGGCTTCCTAAGGGAGAACGTTCCTCAGGTTGGTTTGTGTTTCCTGGTCTCCCCTTTTCATGTGCATGAAGGTGGCGAGGAGCTAGGAACACAGGAGCCTGGGTCCACGTTTCATGTTCTCCCATCTGCACCATCTGGTAGAAGGCTTCAGAGACCGAAAGCTTTTGTGACAGCCACGTGAAGTCCTTCTAAGCCGTTCTCAATGCCGTCAAGTCACTGGTGACTCATGGCCACCCTGTAGGGCTGGCTGGCAGGAGTAGAAAGCCTCTCTCCCCAACACTGCTGCTGGTTTTGAATTGCTGACCTCAAATTTAGCAGTTCAGTGCCTAGCCACTCTGCCACCAGGGCTCCTCCACAGCCCACTAGCTCCAAAGAAATAAGCAGCTTAGTTTTACATCTGGTTCCCCTTCTGATATCCCCTTCTAATTTTTAACTGATTGAGGTGAAGGTTTTAGAGCAGATCATCAGTTTTACATTCTGCCATTTATACCCATTTTGTTCCAACTCTTCAATCCCGCCAGTGTTCAGTCTAAGTTCTGAAGGGTGACTATGAGCCATGGAAGGCTTCCGGAGTTTCACCGGTGTCTATCCCACCAATAAACCTCGTCTCCTGATTTTAAGTTCTGGTCCACATTTTCCCTTCTAGTGTCATCATTTTCTGAGCCGTTGGTGATGTGGCTGGACACCATCTAGTTTTGGCATTGGGATTGTGGAGGCTGGGGTTTAGTGGTTTAGTGGTTCGTTAGTGTATTAACACTGATTGTTCCCCTGTGCCTTTTGGTTTTCAGTCCTCCTCTTTCCTTTGTGTGGAGAGAGACCGATAGATAACTGCTCACTAGCTTGTAAGACCACAGGTGCTACTTGCCAAAGTAGACCATTGTCTATGCCAACTGACCTTGGTGACCTCGGAGACTACGGGCCTGATGCTCGGGCACACCGACTCATTCCTGAAAGATGTCTGGTTATATCTAAGAAGTTTTCATTTTGTTGTGTCAATTTGTTGTGCTGTCGTGGCTTGCACAGGGCTGTGATCCTGGAAGGCGTGTTACTGGTATTTCAAATACCAACAGGGTTTTTCAAAGTGAATAGGTTCCAGCGAAGCTTCCAGAGTAAGCACCTACTCACAGAGTACCACAATTGCAGGATTGTATGTATGTTGGTATTTAGCTCTGTGTCCTCTAACTCTTAACTCCCAGTGTCTTCACAGGCTTCCATCGTTTTCCCCCCATTTCCCTCTTACTGTACATTGCCTTCCTCTTGGCTCAAGTTACCACTTTCCTGGAGGGAAAGTTCTTTTTTGGGTCTTAAGTTTATTTGTTTCTTTCTTGAGTGTATTCCAACTCAAAACCTGGGGATCTTCTGGCATCTTCTTTTTCTAGGAGACTGTTAGGAGGGGGTTGCTGTATGGCACCTCTTTGGGCAGCAGATCTCTGTCCTGCTCCCAGATACGCATCCAGAGATTCTGGGCCACAGTCAAAGTTGCTAAAATGTCTGCAATATGGTCAGCCATTGATGGCTTGTGCTTAGCTCCTGACCAAGAGCATTCGTTAACTGCGAGGGAGAGAGGAGCTACATTATCATGTAAGATAAGGAATGTCACCCGGGCGGATGGCCTTACCTTTCTCCTGAAGAGTGGCTGGTGGGTTTGAACCATCCATCTTGTAGCTGGCAGTAGAATATTTTTCTCTTCACCGTGCCAGTGGGGCAGGGCTCCTGCTCTTCTGGCTCTCCACAGTATATTTAAAAATCTCCAGCACTATAGGAGTATAATCCAAAGGCATCGATTCTTGTGTATTGTTCAGCGTTCATTTGCATGTGAGGCCACTGGAAATCCCATCATTTGGGCCAGGTGACCCTTAGTCTTCAAATGGACTTTTAACACTTGTACAACCGATTTGCCCAATGCAGCATGCTGTTTAATATCTTGACTGCCACTTCCATGGGTGTTGATAGTGAATCCAGGTAAAATGACATCCTTGTCAATCTTTTCTCTGTTTATTGAGATGTTGCTTATTGGTCTAGTTGATTTGTTCCCAACTGATTGAATGATTCAGAAGAATATGAGGGTATTTGTTTGTTTTTTAAAGACAGGTAGCTATTTGGGGTTAAGGTATAGTGTGAGGAGAGGCTCAATGGGCTTGGCTTTTGTGCGATTTGGTTGTATTTTGAAGGTAATGAAATGCTCTGAACACCACAGAAAAAGAAGTGCCCTCAGATAAGAACTTATTAATTTAGCATAAATAGGCTGCTTATGTTGATACTCACTTTTTAAAACAGGCTTGTGACTAATGATTTGCAGTGGCACCAGGTTTGAGGAACTGGGTTGGATTTGGATTATTAGACTTCATTCCTTGATTGGTTTTCCCTCATAAGGGGCTGATGGTGGTGCTGGGACTCTGTCCTGGTTCCAGAAGAGGCAAACCAGGTCCCGACGAGCACAGAAATACCCTCAGCTCTTGTGGATAGATGTATCTCATGGCAAATCATAACTCCACATTGTAATGTCCAAAGCAGTCCTGCCCTGTTTCCTTGTCCTGAGCCCTACATGGTCTCCCCAGCAGACAAAGCAGTTAAAATGCTGCAGGTCCATCACATGCTCCACTCCCACTTTGACCCTTCCTAAGAAGGCAGAAATGGAGACAGGTAATGGAAGCATCCTTGGCTCTCTGAGGTCCCTGGAGTAATTCTTGATGCTGCCTGATTCCTAATGACTTTATAGGAATCTTCCCTCCAAAGGGTTCCTGCTAGACACTTGCTGGCGCAAGTGGTTTCAACATGGAGAGAGGATTCGGAAGGGGATAATTCAATACTCACCCTTGGGAGCCTGGCATTTCTGGTAGCACCGAAAACAGGCAATGAAGAGAAGGCCTTCCCCAAGCTGGAAGATCATGTAGAGGAGAGGAAAGAAGAAGAGCGGTCCGATAACCTCCGGAGGAAAGGTCACGTTGAGGATGGTGGAGCAGAGCTGGACATTCTGGCAGCCGGTCTCCATGCTCACCGTACGCCTGCACCTGTGCAGGGAAACCAGCCCCATCTACGTTCACAAGAGATGCTAGCGGGCTCCCTGTCTGGTCCTTCCCTCCCGCGGACCCTCGGACCCACTGGCCCGGGAAGTTGAAGGTGAGCCAGGTGTGCAGGATTGATGAGGGTTCAAGAAAACCCAGGCTGACCTCTGAAAGACACCACTCTAGCCCTGTGGAGGACGGTGACTAGAATTTTTCTGAGAGAATTTTTTTGTAGCTTGAAAATGTATTTGCTTACTTTTATAGGATGGCCAGGTTACCATCTGGAGGAGGGCTACATAACGAGGCGTGGCCCTGAACCCCAGTCAGTGATCATTGGTTATCTTGGGCTTGTGGGGGGGCAATCATCTGAAGTGTTGAGGACCTGTTCCTGTTCCAGATGTTTCTCAATTGGACACTTTTAACTCTAAAACATGATTTTTTTTAAAAAAAAAGACTCAGGTCCTTGCCATTTTGGGAAAACCATCTGTTTCTTTTGCTTTACATTTTCTGGATCGAAGAATGGGATGTTTACATTTAGTGCATACACATTTAATACATTACAGTTTAATGTGCATTCAAATATGAGAGTAAGTCAGTTCTACCCAGGGTCTCTGAGTTGGAATTGATGATTCGATGGCCATGAGTTTTTCAAGAGGCGAGAGGTGATCTGTGGGCCCAGGAGGGTGGTACTCTGTGATCCGCTGTTGCTGTTTAGATGATAAGATGCCTCGGTCTCTAGTGTCCTCTTACGCTCTACCCCTTTCCAATCCATTCCTTCCCCAGTATTTCTCAAACTCAAAGGCTCATTGTTTAATTGGTGCATTTGAACACGCTGTTAGGGAAATGCCTCACTCAGATACCTCACTTCTATCTTTCCCCTGAGGGACCAGGACTAGAATCAGGTCCATGGAACGTTGGGACCTCAAGTGGTACTTACTGTCCGTTGAGGCGGAACAGCGCAGAGAGAACGTAGCCCATCAGGAAGCCGATAAAAGGCATCAGGGAGGAGGTGGCCAGCAAGTGTGGTGTCATGATAAACATGATGCTCTTGCCCACGTTGATGGCCGAAAGGACCGAGATGACCACAGTAAGCAAAAGCATGATGATCATCCCTCCCTGGGAACGAGGGCAAGAAGAAAACGCAAACAGAAGGGCAGTGGAGAAGAGTGGAAACATTTTCATTAAAAACTTGATATTTGAAGTGGAAGGAATAGGAAAGGTTTTGATATAACATCTTTTAAAGATTCCTATGGATAGCCAGGAAGCTTCTTGGCAGAGACCCAATTAGCATGTTTGTCACAAACCCCAGCTAAGGACAGCTCTGGATAGCTGGTCTTCAGTGCCATGCTGCAGTTCTGAAGACACGACTACTCAGCTCTCCCTCAAAGGAGCCTTGAAAGCGAGCCCTCTGGATGGTGTGCACACTCCTGCAATTCTGCCGTTGCTCCAGACAGCTTGTGGCTGATTCATGATGATTCTTAGAACCTGGCATCCTGTCTAACAACACCTCCATTTACTGGTGGGGACGTCATTCGTTTTCACTTGGACTTCTGGAAATTGCCAAAAGTCACTTGAAATGAAGTTAGT